ATATATGCACATAATACAGGAGCACCCAGATTCATAAAGCAAATCCTTAGGGACCTACAAAGAGAGTTAGACTCCTGCACAATAATAATTGGAGACTTTAATACCCCACTGTCAATATTTTAGACAGATCAACAAGGCAGAAGGTTAACAAGGATATCCAGGACTTGAACTCAGCTCTGCACCAAGTGGACCTAATAGATATCCACAGAACTCTCCACCCCAAGTCAACAGAATACACGTTCTTCTCAGCACTGCATCACACTTATTCCAAAATTGACCACATAGTTGGAAGTTAAGCACTCCTCAGCAAATGTGAAAAACAGAAATCACAACAGTCTCTCAGACCACAGTGCAATCAAATTAGAACTCAGGATTAAGAAACTCGCTCAAAACCACACAACTACATGGAAACTGAACAACCTGCTCCTGAACGACTACTAGGTAAATAATGAAATTAAAACAGAAATAAAGATGTTCTTTGAAACCAATGAGAACAAAGACACAACGTACCAGAATCTCTGGAACACATTTAAAGCAGTGTGTAGAGGGAAATTTATAGCACTAAATGTCCACAAGAGAAAGCAGGAAAGATCTAAAATCGACTACCCTAACATCACAATTAAAAGAAACAGAGAGAAGCAAGAGCAAACAAATTCAAAACCTAGCAGAAGGCAAGAAATAATTAAGATCAGAGCAGAACTGAAGGAGATAGAGACACAAAAAACCCTTTAAAAAATCAATGAATCCAGTAGCTGGTTTTTCGAAAAGATCAACAAAATTGATAGACTGCTAGCAAGGCTAGTAAAGAAGAAAAGAGAGAAGAATCAAATAGATGCAATAAACAGTGATAAAGGGGATATCACCACAGATCCCACAGAAATACCAACTATCATCAGATAATACTATAAACAACTCTATGCAAATAAACTAGAAAACCTAGAAGAAATGGATAAATTCCTGGACACACACACCCTCCCAAGACTAAACCAGGAAGAAGTTGAATCTCTGAATAGACCAATAACAGGCTCTGACATTGAGGCAATAATTAATAGCCTACCAACCAAAAAAAGTCCAGGACTAGATAGATTCACAGCTGAATTCTATCAGAGGTACAATGAGGAGCTGGTACCATTCCTTCTGAAACTATTCCAATCAATAGAAAAAGAGGGAATCCTCCCTAACTCATTTTATGAAGCCAGCATCACCCTGATACCAAAACCTGGCAGAGACACAACAAAAAAAGAGAATTTTAGACCAATATCCCAGATGAACATCAATGCAAAATCCTCAATAAAATACTGGCAAACCGAATCCAGCAGCACACCAAAAAGCTTATCCACCATGATCAAGTGGGCTTCATTCCTGGGATGCAAGGCTGGTTCAACATATGCAAATCAATAAAGGTAATCCATCACATAAACAGAACCAATGACAAAAACCACATGATTATCTCAATAGATGCAGAAAAGGCCTTTGACAAAATTCAACACTCTTTCATGCTAAACACTCTCAATAAACTAGGTATTGATGGAATGTATCTCAAAATAATATGAGCTATTTATGACAAACCCACAGCCAATATCATACTGAATGGGCTAAAACTGGAATCCTTCCTTTTGAAAACTGGCATAAGACAGGTATGCCCTCTCTCACCACTCCTATTCAACATAGTGTTGGAAGTTCTGGCCAGGGAAATCAGGCAAGAGAAAGAAATAAAGAGTATTCAATTAGGAAAAGAGGAAGTCAAATTGTCCCTGTTTGCAGATGATGTGATTGTATATTTAGAAAACCCCATCGTCTCAGACCAAAATCTCCTTAAGCTGATAAGCAACTTCAGTAAAGTCTCAGGATACAAAATCAATGTGCAAAAATCACAAGCACTCCTATACACCAATAACAGACAAACAGAGAGCCAAATCATGAGTAAACTCCCATTCACAATTACTACAAAGAGTATAAAATACCCAGGAATCCAACTTATAAGGGATGTGAAGGACCTCTTCAAGGAGAACTACAAACCACTGCTCAATGAAATAAAAGAGGACACAAACAAATGGAAGAACATTCCATGCTCATGGATAGGAAGAATCAATATCATGAAAATGGCCATACTACCCAAGGTAATTTATAGATTTAATGCCACCCCATCAAGCTACCAATGACTTTCTTCACAGAATTGGAAAAAACTACTTTAAAGTTCATATGGAACAAAAAAAGAGCCCACACTGCCAAGACAATCCTAAGCCAAAAGAACAAAGCTGGAGGCATCACGCTACCTGACTTCAAACTATACTATAAGGCTACAGCAACCAAAACACCATGCTACTGGTACCAAACAGAGAGAGAGACCAACGGAAAAGAACAGAGCCCTCGGAAATAATACCACACATCTACAACCATCTGATCTTTGACAAACCTGACAAAAACCAGAAATGGGGAAAGGACTCCCTATTTAATAAATGGTGCTGGGAAAACTAGCTAGCCATATGTAGAAAGCTGAAACTGGATCCCTTCTTTACACCTTCTACAAAATTAATTCAAGATGGATTAAATACTTAAATGTTAGACCTAAAACCATAAAAACCCTAGAAGAAAACTTACGCAATACCATTTAGGACAAGGACTTCATGAGTAAAACACCAAAAGCAATAGCAACAAAAGCCAAAATAGACAAATGGGATCTAATTAAACTAAAGAGCTTCTGCACAGCAAAAGAAACTACCATCAGAGTGAACAGGCAACCTACAGAATGGGAGAAAATTTTTGCAATCTACCCATCTGACAAACAGCTAATATCCAGAATCTACAAAGAACTTAAACAAATTTACAAGAAAAAAACAAATAATCCCATCAAAAAGTGGGCGAATGATATGAACAGACCCTTCTCAAATGGAGCCATTTATGCAGCCAACAGACACATGAAAAAATGCTCATCATCACTCGTCATCAGAGAAATGCAAATCAAAACCACAATGAGATACCATCTCACACCAGTTAGAATGGCGATCATTAAAAAGTCAGGAAACAACAGATGCTGGAAAGGATGTGGAGAAATAGGAAAGTTTTTACACTGTTGGTGGAAGTGTAAATTAGTTCACCCATTGTGGAAGACAGCGTGGTGATTCCTCAAGGATCTAGAACTAGAAATACCATTTGACCCAGCAATTCCATTACTGGGTATATATCCAAAGGATTATAAATCACGCTACTATAAACACAAATGCACACGTATGTTTATTGCGGTACTGTTCATGATAGCAAAAACTTGGAACCAACCCAAATGTCCATCAATGACAGACTGGATTAAGAAAATGTGGCACATATACACCATGGAATACTATGCAGCCATGAAAAAGGATGAGTTCATATCCTTTGTAGGGACATAGATGAAGCTGGAAACCATCATCCTGAGCAAACTATCACAAGGACAGAAAAGCAAACACTGCATGTTCTCACTCATAGGTGGGAATTGAACAATGAGAACACTGGAACACAGGGCCGGGAACATCACAGGGCCTGTCGTGGGGGGGGGGGGCAGGGGGAGGGATAGCATTAGGAGATATACCTAATGTAAATGATGAGTTAATGGGTGCAGCACACCAACATGGCACGTGTATATCTATGTAACAAACCTGCACGTTGTGCACATGTACCCTAGCACTTAAAGTATAATAATAATACAAAAGAACGCTTTCAAAGGAATAATAAAAAAAACAGTATGCTCAGAATATTCTCTTTTCTTGTTAAAAAAAAAAAAATCAATGCAGGCCGGGTGCAGTGGCTCATGCCTGTAATCCCAGCACTTTGGGAGGCCGAGGCAGGCGGATCACGGGTCAGGAGATAGAGGCCAACATGGTGAAACCCCGTCTCCACTAAAAATACAAAAATAAGCTGGGTGCGGTGGCGTTTGCCTGTAATCCCAGCTACTCAAGAAGCTGAGGCAGGAGAATTGCTTGAACCCAGGAGGCGGAGGTTGCAGTGAGCCGAGATTGTGCCACTGCACTGCAGTCTGGCGACAGAGCGAGACTCTGTCTCAAAAAGAAAGAAAGAACAGAACAGAAAGAAAGAAAGAAAGAAAGAAAGAAAGAAAGAAAGAAAGAAAGAAAGAAAGAAAGAAAGAAAGAAAGAAAGAAAGAAAGAAAGAAAGAAAGAAAGAAAGAAAGAAAGAAAGAAAGAAAGAAAGAAATGCACATGTAAAGCAAGTCTTAAAGCACACTTATCTGTGGAAGATAGTATTATGAAGGCGTTTTATAATATATATTTGCTCAGATTTTTATGACACCTCATGTGTATTTATTTATTGCATTATCAGAAAATAAAGATAAAACCCTTAAAAAACAAAACAACCACAAGCAAAAACAAACAAAAAGTAAAATCACAGCATTCCAAGGGTAGCCCTCAAGATAATGAAGACCGAATTTCCTAACAGTTGAATGGGAAAGGAACTTACGTTGGATATGAATTAGAAAAAAAGTAAAGATTTTCTCCTGCATACCAGTCTGCAGATTCATACACCCAAAGTTAATTTGTTGATATTTTAATCTACTTCTAATTACGAACTGTGTTTATTATGAGACTATCAAAAAAACTGCTTTCCATCAACATGCAGGTGTTTTCTTTGAAGGGGATTACAAATACGAAGGGATTGACACGTTCATATTTACTTAGCAAATAATGATCTAATCCCTAGGTCAACAGTGAAGCTGAGGAAGGAGAAGACTGTTTCTAGGTGATGGAAGGTTGTTAGGCAGGACTCAGTTGGATTCTAGGTTTCAGGGTGGGGACTACTGTACTGCCTTTTCAGTCAGGCGAATCCCAAAGAACTGCTGCCTGGACGGGAATGGGAATATGGTCTGGCTGGGAGGACAGAAAGCAGATGAAAGAAAGTGTGATATGGGTTGCAGACTCAGGGCCTTGAGCACTGTTCTTTCTCACCTTTGTGGTGGGGGATGACGGGGTGGAAATGCATTCTCCCAGTCGGATCACATGCCACTACTCACCAGTCTTATATCCCGTCGCGGCTTCACATATATTATTTACCCGGCCTGTGTGGCATTTTACTTTGCATCCTTGCTTGGGAGTCTCAGGGGCTATGAAGAAACGTGTTACCCCCAGGTAGCCGGCGGGTGCGGAGGGAGTATTACTGGAGAGGGATAAGTGGGGATGTCGCTGCGCCCTCGTTCCTTGATCTGCGGAGGACGGCCATTCTCAGGGTTCCCGAGGAGCTGGTTCCGTGCACCTAGGCCCTAGGTCGGCTCCCAAGCCCCGGCCCGCCACTACACCAGCCACTTCTTACCCGCAGGTACAAATCTGACACAGACACCAGTTCCTCATGCTCTCGGCTCCAAGGGTTTCTTTCAGCTCGCCTCAGCACTTGCAGCTTCTTCACTCTTACAGCGCCCGCCGTAGTCAAGGCAACAGAGGGATGCCTGGTGACGGACGCGGCGCCGGCTTCCGGCGGCGGAAGGGACGCGTCAGTACGGGCGTGCAGGACCCGCAGAGTTCTCCGCGTTCCGAAGCTCTTGGTGTGGCTGGGACCCGGGAGGAGGAACAGGGCTCGTGGGGTTGCTGCAGACTGTGATTGCGGGCTCGCGTTAGGAACTGGCATCTTCCTCGGCCAGCCTCTGGGCGGTGCTGGAGGACCCCGCTCGCTGCGACTCTGAGGCGGAAACCCGGGCTGGGGCCGAGCGCGGGCTGGGAGCGGCGGTCCCCGGAGTGTGGCTGCCAATCTGGGGTCGGGGCGTGGCCTGTCTGTGTGGACCCGGGATCCTCAAAGAGAACGAATCCGGGACCCTGCAGAAATGAAGGGCATGTAGTGTAGACGTTTTTCCTTTTTATTTAGAAAGGAATGAAAGACCGGCAGTGCACCTGCTTGGATAATAAGCACGTGACCCAAAACTTTGTTCGGGCTCGGTGGGCAGGAATAAAGCTGGGTATTCGACCTCGCGCGAGGACTAGCGAGAATGTCAGAATGAGGGACATGGGGGAAGACTGAAGAGAGAAAGGGAGCATCTTCTTCAGCATCTTGTCAGCCTCCTGCATGCAACCCTTCCTGTACGTGGCCATTGGCCTGGAGAAGTTTACCAGAGTTCTCCTCCACCGGCAGGGTTACTGGTGTCACTGTGCACCCAGCCCCTTCGAGCTGCGTGATTCATCGCAGCCTTCGGATCCAGAAGGATGAGCAAATTCCTCAATTATAATCGTAGTAGGATACTGACTTTAGTGTTTAGCCTGGAATTGGCTGAGGCATGAAATTGACTGATGGCTCAGAATAGTTGGCCTAGAATAATAGGCTGGCATTTCAGATCTGTGAGAAAAAGATGAACCTTTTAAATGGTTCTTGGGCAATTGGTTATCCATGTGGAAAAAAAATTGGACCTCTACTTAATACCACACACAAATCAATTGCACAGTTAAGGTATTTATATTTAAAATCAAAACTGTAAAGCTTTTAGAAAATAATATGGGCTAATATTTTTATGACCTTAAAGGAAGATTTCTTAAGACAAAAACGTGCAAACAATTTTATAAAAGGTTAATAAACTACTTAAAATTAAGAACATATTTATCAAAGACGCCAGAAAGAAATGGAAAAAAACAAGCCTGGTAACTGTGAAAAATATTAATAACACACATGTAATTGACAAAGGACTAGTATTCAGAGACTATAAATAACTTATCCAAAACAAAATAAATCTGTATTACAACCAGTAGAAAAGTGGACAAAAGCCTTGTATAGGCAGTTCACAGAAAAGGAATGTTAAATGGCCAATACAAGAAACTTATAAAATACTTAATCCCATTAATAATAGGAGAAATGTAAATTAAAACCGTGAGATGCTCTTTATCACCCATCTTAAAAAATAAAGTCCAGCAATATCAGCTGTTGAACTTATGAATCAAAAAAAGCAGTATTCCACTGTGGATCAGTCCAACTATTTGGAAAATAATTTGGAAATGTTAGGTTGAGGATGTGCAGATTTAATAACTCAGAAATTCTATTGGTAGAGAGTGTATAAGAGACTCACAACTGTTCATATCAGCTCAGTAATAGTTACAGAAAACTGGAATCCGTCTCCATGTCCACCGGTAATACAATGGATGAATGGGTGTGGTAGATTTGTGAGGTGGAGTTCTACAGTAATAAAAATGAATGAATTATGTCAATATGGGTGAATCTCAGGAAAACAATATCGAGCAGAGAAAAAGTGACAGTGTAATATAGTAAGTATGATTCTTATAGAAGGCTTAAAACTTGCCACTCTACATGATATATTGCTTAGGGACACACTCATTTTTAAAAATTATAAAGAAAATAAGGAAATGATCAAGATAAAATTCAGGATAGTGGTTACCTATAAGCCAGGAGCACAGGGTACTTCAAAAGTAAAAGACTTTTTTTTTTTTTTTTCCTTTTGAAATGGGATGGTGCATACATAGGGGTTCATTGTGTTGTTATTTACACATGTTTCATACCAACCCAGTGCTTAAAAACATACATTATAGAAGACTGATAAGGGACTGAGACTTTTTGAAGGAAGGACCGACTGAGAGGTTGGAGAGGTGAAGGGAAACCAGCAGTGGGATCTAAGGAGAGATGGAGGTAAATTAAGATATTTCAGACTCTTGGAAGAATTTCACATATGCATGTAACACACATGCACACAAAGGGTGATTGTTATGCTGCACTGGAATCAAGAAAAGTGAGGATTGACAATGATTACTGCGTTTGTCCAGAGGTCATTGATAGCCTTTAGGGCTTTGGTTTTGCCAGAGCTGCGGAAATGGAAGCCTTTCTGAAAATTTCAGAATTAATGTGGATGAATACATGTGGCAGTTCATATCAACAGATAATTCTCAGTGCTTTTGAATGAAAGAAAGGAATAAATAGAAAGGTTAAGAATTTTTCAAAAGTTTGACAGTGGAGAGAATGGAGGAAGGGTAAGGGAAAATCATTCTGGAGAAAGGAGGAGGAGGTTAGTCTGGTACTTAGGGCTAAGGAGTTGGAAAGGGATGGGATCTTTATTTAAACGAATTCACTGTCAATACTGATGCACTGCAAGGTCTAGAGAATGAGATGTAGACCCTCACTGGTGGGCATTACAGTGAAAATTATCAACTAAATGGTCATACTACAAATATTTTCTACTGTATTCTTTTTTTAAAAAAGATGTATTCAAAATCTGTTAATTTAGAAAAGGAGTAAAGACACTTCTCTTGCTTCTAGAAACCTCTGTTTCAGTCTCTGCTCAGAATTTGTCAAATAGCTTATAAATAGGAAAAGAATGGCTATGTTATTGATGTTTAGAAAGAATTCTCCCAAGTGCTACTCTCTGTAAGTTGTTCTTGAACTGCACCATCATTTATGGCTGATATTTGGATGAGCAACACTGTGGGGAGGGTATGCAGTATTTGAATACGTTTATGAGTTCCTAGTGGTAATGTTTTTCAATTTGTCATGTTCCCTTCCTCTCAACCAACTTCACTTCTCCATCCCCTCATCATCTTAAAAAAAGAGAGAGAGGGCCAGGCAAGGTGGCTCATGCCTTTAATGCCAGCACTTTGGGAGGCCGAGGTGGGTTGATCACCTGAGGTCAGGAGTTCAAGACCAGCCTGGCCAACATGGCGAAACCCCGTCTCTACTAAAAATACAAAAATTAGCCAGGCATGTTAGCACATGCCTGTAATCTCAGCTATTTGGGAGGCTGAGGCAAGAGAATCATTTGAACCTGGGAAGCAGAGTTTGCAGTGAGCCGAGATTGTGCCACTGCATTCCAGCCTGGTCAACAGAATAAGACTCTGTCTCAAAAATAAATAAATAAATAAAAAGAGAGAGGCTCTATATAGTTTAAAATTCAAGTATTGGCTGGGCGTGGTGGTTCACACCTGTAATCTCAGCACTTTGGGAGGCCACGGTGGGAGGATCACTTGAGCTAGGAGTTCGAGACTAGTGTCTACAAAAATAAATAAAAATAAAAAAATAAAATTTAAGTATTTAAAACAAAAAAAATCTAAATTAGCAAATTTTAATGTTACATTTTAATTCTTTGGGAAGTGAAGATGCATATGTTGCATTTTTCCAGTTAAGGTACATGGACAGCAGAGAAGATGAACAGATCTGAGGGATCACTATGAAATCCAGTGCCATTTCACTACATTATGCAACAGGTTAATCAATCTGTTTTACAGAAACAGAGCTTTGCATCTTTCATGTCCTCCTCTCTCTTTCTGAATTAATTGCATGCCTCAGTTTCTTTGCTTATATTCTACATATTTTATTCTGGCCTTTACACATGATCTATTGTCAGAGTCATGCTGTCCAGGCTTGGAAGCAAATGGAAACCTCTGACTGGCTTGAGGGCAGAAGAACTGGCAGTTCACACTGGCCCCCTCCACCAGGTGCTTGTATGGATTTCTTCACAAGGAAAGTCAGGAGCCCTAGGCCTTTAGCTGGTTCAGCCCTGCTATTCTGCCTCATGGCCTAGCCTGCATGTTAGATTTGGAGTCTTATTTACTTAAAAGTAGACTGGCATGATCAGGACCAGCTTGCTATCCTCAAATGAGGATGCTACTTCGATAGTAACACTTCTAGGAATTTATCTGACAGAAATAGTCATGTCAGTGTGTGAGATACATGTCACTGATATTCACTAAATAGTTTGTATTCGTGAAAAAAATACCAACAACCTCAATGTCAGTAGGAGAATGGTTAAATAAACTGATACATCCAAGCTGTGAAATACTGTGAAGCTGTTAAACCTACTGTTTAATATATATGTCATTGTATAGGGAAGAATGGTATGTTAAGAGACAGAAAACGCAGACTATTTTTGTAAGATATGAATGTGTTTGGGTAATAAAAATATATATGCAGATAAAGGTGTCTGGAAGGATACTTACCAAACCCTTAACAGTAGCTCTCTGCAGGGGCTAGGATTATGGCAAAACTTGCACTTTTCAAAATATTTATTTTTGTAGTATTTGAAAATTTTACACAAAATGTGTATTCTTATAATTAGAAGAAAATATTAAAGATATATTTTATTTCCCTAATGGACTTACCTGTGGTTCATCCTTCACAAGTGTCGTATCTTTGGCATTGCCACCAAAAGATGTACTCTGTGGGGCATGGCTGTTGTGCCAAACCAGTTTTGAAGCTCTTAGGCACATGAATTCTCAGTGTTTAATGTTTAAAGTAACACTTCATTTTTAAAAACAAATAATTCTCACATTTTAAAGGGTATGTTCTCTTCCTGTAATCCAGAGAATGGGGTTGAGGGTCTATTGATTTATCTCATTTTATAGACTTCAAGAGATTTGTAGGCTGCCTTCCTCCTTACCCAGATTATTAGTCTGTTTTTATTTGAAGATTCCTCTGGTGTCAGTTTTAGTTGTTCTGCTCTATACTTTGTCTCTAGTCCCCCTCCCCTGAGTCCTTTAACCACTTTGTTAAGGTTTAATTTATATACCATAAAATTCACATTTGTCTTTCTGGTGTAGTATTGTAGAAGAATTTGCTGTAGGACCCTGGGAATTGAATGGTCTGAACTCTAATTTTGTTGAGCTCTGTGATCTTGGCTGCTCACAGATTGTTTTAGGTACACTTTTTTTTTTTTTTCTTTTTAAGAGACGGAGTCTTGCTCTGTCACCCAGGCTGGAGTGCAGTGGTGCTATCTCGGCACACTGCAGCCTCTGCCTCCCGGGTTCCAGTGATTCTCCTGCCTCAGCCTCCTGAGT